CATTAAAAAGATCAGCTGCTAATTGGAACGTCGCGTTGGCGGAGGCATCAGCGGGTTCACTTTGGCAATTCATGTCGAGAGACGTGGTTGTAGAAGTCCTTCAACCTGATGATGAACTAAAAGGCTCGAAATCCGGATCGTTGCAAAACAACTTACTGTGAGTAGGAACTATCTTTTTAAAAAAGGATTGAATACCACTCACTTCACCATTTATCATTTCTACTAACTTCCCATCTCAATCCCACCTTATTATTAATAAAATCGGGGCAAAAATGATCAATTTCGCCCGAGAACGTGTCCATAAGTCGTCTAGACTTTAAGAAAAATATCTTATCTCCGTTGAAAGTACCTTTAATGCTTTCGGATCAGTTGGGCGCGTTTTCTTCTGTTGGAAAACGAATGGAATTTACAATAGTTGTTCAAAATATAACATCGACTGTGAAACGTAGAGGAGGCAATTAGTAGTCATCGAAGGTATGCTGATTGTTGATGATTTGTGGGTTAATTAAACAACAAAAAATCTTGAATTTTTACTTGGGATCACGTTCGAGATTTTATGGAAGAGTCTGTATCGACTTCTTCCTCTTTCGAGGACAAATGGGGTTTGTAGGTTTGTGTAGGTTTGATTCGATAAAGGAGCTTGGACAGGTTCGAAGGATTTTTGATTTGAGTGACTAGATTCTTTGGAAGTTCCCTATGTCCAGTTTGATTGTAGAAATGATATCTAGATTGATTACTACTCGAACCATTGCCCAAGCTCCCTACTCCACTTATCCAACCTTATTATCCACACGGATCTTCAAATTTCAATTGTTCTCGAAACCGGAAGAAATTGGATATAGAAGCCTTCATAAAACCTTCGAACCTCATCCCAATCTTCAAGTCCAAAGTGAATACTGTTGTGGTAGGAGTGTAATCAAGGATTATATACAAATTTTATGAAGTGGACTAAGCTGCTTCTAGCTCTCTGGCGCTGTTGTAACATAACAGTAAATTTAATCTTTTCATTCCGGGATTTATTTAAAAATTGAACGTTGCAAGAATTCAAGTGCGGAAGTAGGCCATATCTGCAAAATCTCAGAAAATCCAGTATATTTTAATCCATTATGTTTAGTGGTCTAATTGACCAAATTACTTATTTCTATTAATTATTCTTTTTACGTAAAGTCCCGGTTGAGATGAAAAAGTTAGTGTCACGAGCGGGATTCGAACCCACGACCTTCGGCTGATGTATATTTAGTAGTAGTAGTACAAAAAGTATATTTTAATGTTGCAGTACTGAATACGTCCAATTTTTATTTTTAAAGAAATTTAAATCAGTCAAAATGTCGTACAATGATCATTTTAACCCTGAGTGATTGTCCTTATTCTTGTTGAACTAATTAATTAGACTAATTAGTTATTAATGTTCCCGTTCTATATTTTTTATTATCACGGGCTCGTCCCGCTTCTAAGATCACTATTTATTTATAGATTTATCACGGGGTTTGAACAATTTATAAATAAAGATTCGGTTTTAAAAATTCCAGAAAAGCTTAATGGATTGGTATTACGTATTAAAACATTACTTATGGGCGTTGCCCCTTCCGGGTTATCTGTCTCCTTTTTTGATTCAGATTTTCCTTGTCTTCATTCACACTGTAGCCCTTCAATTTAAATGGATATTAAACAAAATGTTGACCACATTTACTTAAAATTATAGATTGTCTATGTGGAGTGCGGCGGGCATAGGTCACTGTCCCGGCACCAAAGGAGTACATTATAAACAGACATTACTTATATTTTTAATATTTTTAAATGTATATGGTGTTTGTATGTATTGGTCTAGTGTTTATGTTAATTTATTGGAATGAATGTAATTTATTGGCGTGAATTTAACCCCGCCCGAGAAATATCGACTACTCTTTGGTTAGTGTCTGAAGTTTGGAGGGTAAAAGTAACTTATTAGCGAGAATGGAGGGGGTTCAACCCTTCCCCGAGGAATATTGAGTTCTTTGGGGGAGTGAATGTGACCAGATTTTTATATTTGCTTATACATATATTGTTTATTTTGTGTATATTTGCTGGGCCTAATTGACAACCTGAGGTACAAATAAAAAGCTAACATTTCAGGATATAGACTAGTTTCATATAAAAGCAGAGTCAGTAACAGATTGAGACGGTCAAAGCTGCAGGCTGAAAAATACGCGTGAAAGATCAGAAATCGAAGTAAAAACACGCAGATAGCCGGCGATGATCTCAGCAGTTTGTCAACCTCTAAACTACTCACATTATATATATAGAATTAGCAAAAGAAGACTTACTTATTGAAATTCTAAGGCACATAACATTTAGATTATCCAAGAATGGCAATACTAATTATAGCCCAGAACAATAAAACAATAAAAGACGATAGTAAAAACAACAATAAAAGACAATAGTAACATAAATTTCGTTTGAATTGATGATATGGGCAGGAAATTAATTGCAGAAGACAAATCTTAACTTTGATGATATGCTCTTATAGTCTATACAGCGCAAAAACTGGTATTGATGATATGATTGAAGGCGGAATATATATCTAATAAAACGAGTAGGAAACAATTAATATAAAGAAGGCTATAAGCATATACTAAAAGAATGATAATTAAATATGCGGAAGATACAATCTAATTGTTAGGTTTTCTTTTCGATAGAAAAGAAAAAGAGTTTACTGTAGTCCAATAGCTTGGCCCAGTATTGTTTCGATGATGACAATGAGCATTGATAATATTTTCCCTCCTATCATTTGTTTGAAACTCAAATTTTTGCTTAATAATTCGACCAATTATTTCAAATAGCATTGATAAAAAAATATTAAATATTGAACTTCTGTATTAATCTTTGCGACAAAAACATCATGAAACAACCCGAAAGATGGTTTTCTCAAATTGAAAAGTGTCGTTCATTGCATTATGCAAGTGAGAAATAGTACAAAAATATCTGACAGGATTTATCACAATTTGTAAATTTGTGGTCATTTCAAATCACAGATATCTCACGAAACCAGTTGGATGAAACAAACAGCGAAACTGGGCGGGACCAAGGTGATTAGGACGTAATCAACCGATTCTTTCGCAAGAGCTTAGAGATATAGGGATTCTTATTTTCACACACCTTATCCTTTTTGCATCATATAAAAACTTTTAGGCATTAAAATTTTATCAATTTTTATTTTTTAGCTAGACCTGTTTAGAAACGTTGAAGTTTAGAGAATTTAAATTGAGATTCATTGTTATTGACTTCACAAAATCCAAAAACAAGCTGTTTACTGCCCTTGGAGATGACATTTGATAACACGAACGCCTATTGTCATAGTTTGCATAGGTCTAAATTGGGAAGCACGGATATTTGTAAGACCGCAGACGGTGGAAAACCTCTCTAATGTTGTTGATTTGAAGGATAAATAAAATTATATCCTTTTTCACCATTTTTTCCATCACTTTCTCCGTGATATTATAAAGTAAGTGGCCTAATTGACAGTTTAAATTTGAAAAACAAACATTCTTTCGAAATCTTACTAAAAAAGGATGTCATTTTCCTTACCACCATTTACAAATCAGACATACTTCTCGTTCCAATGGAAATTATAAAAAAAAAACCCATGCCACAGTTCAAAAACCTCAGCAACTCCATACGTCTTATATCTTTATCAGTTTTCTCTCCATTACTTGGCAAAATCTTTGAAAATTTCAGCTCAAACAATATATTCCACCCCCGAAATATCTAATGTCACTCCATCCCGTGAATTCGGGTTCAGGCAAGATCACTCCATTTAACAGGCCACGTGTTGGATTGCTCTAGAAACTCAAGGGCATCCTTCCATTCACGTTACTTCATCCTAAAATCCTATCTGTCCTGGTACTTTCAAGTACGAACCGCAACAGCCGAAGCGTGTGTTCCACAGCAACCTTGATCCCATTTTTTCTTCAACATAAATGATACAGCACTCCTCACATATGCAGACTATACCGCCATGCTTTCCCAGAGCAAATAGTGGCGTCCAGAAGTCTTCAGGATTCTTACTGTTTGGAAAAATGGTTCAAGAAATAGAGGATTCAATGAAAGTAAATTCCAGCCTGACCTTCATGCTTTGACGTATCATTTCTCCATCAATCTTACAGAACTCTGATCCCTTTCCAGCTACCAGTGTTGCACGCTATTTGAGGCTTAACGTTGACAAAAACTTACTTGGAATCACACACTCAAAAGAATAGAATTAGACAGACTACGGCCACATCATTTACACTGTATATGAACGTAAGGAATTGAACTGTGGGGTTCCATCCTCCAAAGAATCAAGTAGCTCCAGTCCAAAATCTTTCGAACTTCTGCCCTAGCTCCACCTATTTCGTATCCAACCTTACTTTCCACACAGACGTTCAAATTCCATTTGTCGACTAAATTGCAAGAATTCGATAAAAACGTTTCCATAAAACCCTGGAACCTCATCCTAACCTCCTAGTGTCCTGGTTTGACACCTTTCGTTCCTGAACACTTCCCGACTTTTGGGACGTCTAAATCAATAATGGCCTTGAGATTTCCACCTAGTGAAGAAAAAGACTAGTGCTGTAATAGGAGAGTAATTAATGGATAATTTCTCCAATGACATCTTATAACGTACAGTAAAATTAATAAAGACAATAAAAGTTACTTGTAACTCTAGCGTTGGAAAACATAATCATATAAAAATACCTTTGTTTGTCTATATACTTACATATATAGTGTTCATGTTAACAATTATTTATAACGCTTATGATAAGACGAAACTACTAATTAAACGTTTATATCGGCTGAAACTGTTCTTCATAAAAAGCTTCATAAAAAGAAGAACACGACGTAGGAAAAAGCCCAGTCGTATCGATAAATACGATTATTTATGAATGGTAATGGAAACCCGACATCCATGTTAAAATATTCATTACAATTTACGTCATTAATCCAGTCAGAAAGGCCTGCCGGTCAGTTTGTTCTTTGACACCGTGTGAACTTCAGGCATGCATCGCGAAATATTCAACAGATTCCTACATAACAGTGAGTAACACTGAACAATCACAGTGATCTTTTTAAATGATTTAGCATAGGATAAGAAAATTTAGATTGTAAACAGTTTTTCATGAATACTTTTTAGTTTGTCATCAATATTCGATTTTTAAGGAAAAGTCATAATGGACAATATCTCTTTACTAGGTAGTTTGCTTTTGTATTGTTTCCTCTGATTTTAAACCGATTAAATCGAAATTCCCTTCCTAGACTGGCTGAAAACGGGCTTTTTATTAGCACATAATGGCGTTTTTTTGCAATTATTAAAACTCGAAATTTAAAAAGACCCCCGGCCTTTATCACCTTTGGCTCATGTTTTGACAATAGAATGCGATGGGACATATTCAACGTGAGAAAAGTCCCATCGTAAAAGTGCGGCATCGGTGGATTTTTTTCCTCTGTCCTTCATAACGTTGATTGATCGAACACATTGTTCCAAGTCGAAGATAGCTCGAGTCAACAAATTATCAGATATTGCATTATTTCTGGTTCCGGTGAATCCTTGGAAAGAGAAATAATGAATGAAAGAACGATCCTTGAATGTTCTCCTTTGAATCATGGATCCCATGATTTTATTATCATATTAAAACTACTGTTAAGTGATCACTGATTAAATAAAACAATTTTTTTTATTAGTCTTAATTGTTATAAGCATGAATGCCAAACGAAGGACAAGAATTTCCTTTTTTCCAAGTATGTTGTATCTTTGTACGCGCAGATAATTTTTTAATATTACAAAATTCTTTACAGTCTTATCAGACTGCGTTATATAAAAATGAATAATCGATCCATTAAAAATTGATAAACAAATAACACTTTTCGTTGTTATAAAGACAGATGCATTGTTTATTAAACCAGGGGATTTAATGAGTTAATGCCAGTGCAAATAAATATTCAAAAAAAGAGATTCAATTCTTTAAAAAATATAAATGTTTAGGAAGAATTTTATATCAAGTTCCAGCCATCTTCAATTTGGAGATACCTTCAGTTCAAATTACTTAATATTATTCAAATCTGTCAGCAAAGCTAATTAGCATAAGCAATAACTTCGAAGTTTTTATACACATATTCTACTCTTATCTGCTTCCAGGTTGTTGATTTTATAGATTAACCTCAATTTAATTGGGGTTAATTTAGGAAACAATTTAATAATTGATTGAGAAATCAATTTCGGGGGCCTGCTCCAAACCAAATATGGATTTTGTTTGGTTGTCTCTTTCCAGCGTTAACCCAAATAAATAAAGCTTTGATAGTCAAAACGTTTCATACATTTCTCATTCTTGTGGCAAAGGTTTTCAACCAGATGTTAATGGAATAAACGCAGTGGAAGATAATAATTGCATAGTAATAAATAGATAAGCATTACAAATGGGTCATTGGTGACATCCTATGTAACATTAACTGTAAATAAATTGAGTTGGACAGTAATTGTTTTCTCAATATCCAAGATGATAAACTTGCATCAAATTTCTGATGACTGGGGTTTTTCTCGTGCTGAAGAAGCTCCACCCTGTTAAAAAAAGCTATTATGAATTATGCTATTAAGGTGACGATAAAACGAGACATAAAACGTTTAAAATGTATTTCACTACATTTTTTCGGCCCGGTTCATGGTTTTCTTTTTTGCCGAAATCCACCCTGTTTTCTCCCAAGCAGAAGATAGGAATAATTTATAAGTGTTTCAGCTGCTCGTTACATTTTTCCACCAGGTCACGCCGGAAGGGCGCATGACGTCCCGCACGTTGATTATTCCACGTAGACAAAATGAATTTGTCAAAATATCGCCCCTCGACGAACGGTGTTAACACAGCGCCGATTCAATGCTAAATTTTCAACGCGTCATGGCCTAATAACGATAACAGCTGTAGTTAAACACCTACCTTATAAATATTATGACAATTAAATGTAACAATTGTTCTAAGGATTCGTAGCTTTTTTTTCTAACTTTGGAGGCCAACAACATGATAAATATACGCAACTATGGTCTAATTAGGTCATTACTTTCAGTTTTCGCTGAGTAATTTTATATTTACGAACACTCTGGATCAAGGTATGGTCTTGAAGAAAAAAGCAAATTCAGTTGTTACTGCTAAAATTTCGACTTATTTTAAGGTCATCACCAGGTCCTATATTAATTTCGCATTATGAAAAATATATTTGTACAGTTAATTTAACAATCAATACAACTAAATAGAACTTACAAAACAAACTGAAATAAGGTAACTGATTGTGATTAAACCGAATTCTAAAAATGGTGGTGAAAAAATGTCTGTATGCATACAATATATGCAGGGTGTTCGGCTACTCGTGTTACAATCTTTTCCAGTAGATTCTACAATCAAAATGGAACCACAAAAGTCTTATTTACTTACTATGGTCCGAATCTCAATAGTTTCGGGGTTATTTCACTTTTCTGATTTTTAAGATTTCACGACCTTGCTTCAGAAACAGAAACGGACTAATCCGTTGGTATCAGTGAAAAACTACGTTAAATTTCCAATAAGATGTTATTAATATTAAACTTGTAAACGTTGGTGAAATAAACGTTTTAGTAGTCACAACTTTGATTGTAAATTAATATAAATATTTAGGAGTCATATTTACCCGAGACTCTCTTGGACAAAGCACTTCTCTTGGAAAGCACTGGAAAGTCAGTGGCTAAATTAGTTCTCCCCAGCGTTGACCTGTTACGGTTTTTGAGTGGCTCAAATTCGCGGCCTTTAATTCGATACGCTAGGCATGCATGGAACTACAGATATGAATTAATTAATGAGTTTAATTTTTGATTTCTTTTGTATAACTTGTTTTTTTTTTTTTGTTCTCTTTCGCATTTTGGCGGCAGTTGTTGTTTCTCCTTTTTTCTTTTTATTGCGTAGGCTATAACTTTTATTTTATTTTATTGTGTATTTTTTCGTTTTTGACTGTTTAATCAACAACCTCTGGCAGACGGATCCAAGATGCTTTAAAATCTAAATTGCCTTTTTTCCTTTTTTTTTATGTTTAATAAAGCATTATTATTATTATTATTATTATTAGTCACAACTTTGAAAATAATTCTTTTTTCAATGTTGAAAAAGTTACTATGGTGATTCTAAACAACTATTTCCAAACCTAGAAACCAGCAAATTTTCAGAAAACGTACTCCGTTTAATGTCCTTTTTAGTGGTGTAATTGCTTTTTTAATTACTTTTCTCAAATATGAAGTAATTGGTGTAGAAAAGGTAAAAACCGTGGTTGACGAATTGGTAAGGTGGAAGATTTAAAAAAAAAATCTTAAGGAAATTTTGAATGAATTTATTAAACGTTTTTTTAATTTGGGTTCGAAACCAACCTGAACGAAACTGATGAAGGAACGTAAAAAACCGTGGTTGACGGATTGGTAAGGTGGAAAGATTAATAATAAAATAAAGTATAAAAAACATAAGGAAATTTTGAATGAATGAACTAAAAACTTTTGAATCTTAAAACTCTTTTATTCCGTGGAATATTAATAGAATAATCCTTTAATCAAAGTTGCAGTCGTGTTGGTAAATAAGTAAACAATTGCATTATTTCAGTTTCGAATCGAAATTAAAAAACGTTTAATAAATTCATTCAAAATTTGCTTAAGATTTTTTTAAAATCTTCTACCTTACCAATACCAATTCTACCTTACCACGGTTTTTACCTTTCCTACATCAATTACTTCATCTTTGAGAAAAATAATTAAAAAAGCAATTACACCACTAAAAAAGGACATTAAATGGAGTACGTTTTCTGAAATTTGTTGGTCACTAGGTTTGGAAATAGTAGTTGAGAATAGTAAGTTTAGAAAAATAGCAGTAAATAATAGTAAGTTTTCAAATAGCAGTAAGTTCTGGCTACTTAAACGCTTATTTCACCAACGTTTACAAGCTTAGGATTAATCTCATTGGAAATTTAACGTAGTTTTCAATGGTATCAACGGATTTGTCTAACACTTTTCTATTTTGGTGTTATCATTGTTTATTTGAAGTAAGGTTGTGAAATCTTAAAAAATCAGAAAAAGAGGAATAACTCCAAAACTGTGGATGATTCGGACCACAGTTTATTAGGATTTTTTGGTTCTATCTTAAATGTAGAACCTACTGGCAAAGTTTGTAACACGAGTAGTCGGAACGGAAAAGTCCACATCCACGAGGCATCCTGGACACAACACACTCAGGAAAATTAGATCACACGCACAACTAGCGTGGTCTTTAATACCAGTTTTCACCAGCTGAGAGGGTAACTGGTTATTAACCGAATTCTAAAAATGTAGTGAAAAAATGTCTATATATAATATATATATCAAGGCAACAGGGCTGTCCTTGCATTGTAGGCTGTACCATCCCATAGGGTCAATCATGGTGTCATATCCTTTTTGAACACTCTTGATCAAGGTATGGTCTTGACGAAGAAAGCAAATTAAGATGTTACTGCCAAGCTTTCGACCTATTTTAATGTCATCATCAGGGCAAAACAATTTTATGTCTACAGATTGACATATTTAAGTATATTACAGACAGAAGACCGATTCAGTTCTCTATTCAGAGAGCCCTCTCAACACGACACCCAATAATGCCACTTCTACACGGAAAAGAAACACTTTGAGCCGTGAAGATGATCTCAATAAAGATCGAAACGTTGGCACGATCAAGAAAATTTTTTCTAAACCTACGTCCAAATAATCATTAACTAACGGTCACTAAACACCACATATTCGTAAATATTATTGATGTCTGGTATTCATTTTCTTTATCAAATATTTTTTCTTGGGCGAAATCACTGGGACGTACGTTATACTTTTGAACGTGTTCATATTTCTATCGGGGTTTTTCACTGTTCGTTAATTTTCTTGAATTAATATTTAACAATCTATTGTATGTTCTCATAACTTTTTAATAGTTGGTTTAGAATTAGATATTAATTGAAGGAAGTAACGAACGTGTTCGTTATAAATAGACTTAAGGGAAATTTTAATAAACCTACGT